ATCCTATTCTTTGTTACACACATTTTTCTTTCCTTCTTTCTTTTTTATTTCATCCTGATTCTTCCTTAAATTTCGTTTCTTTTATGTCCACAAACCAGCCTCTTATTTGAAAAACAAAATGTAATTCTTCTTTATCTTTGTTTTTTTCCCCACTTTTCTCCATCTCTTTAAATTCATATTCCTCATTCACCATTTCGAAACTTTCTCGGCACTTAAACTTTGCTCCTCTACGTAAATCCATTATTTGAAAAAAGAAAAGAAAAAAAGAAGCTTTATACTTTTTCTTTTCTTCTATAATACTTGCCTTTATTTTTTTTTATTTTCTTCCACCCCTTTCCTTCTTTCTTTTTATTTTATTTTATTTTTTCTTCTTAAGTTTTTCTTTTTCATTGTTTGTCTGCGTTTTCTTAGTAGAGCGCCACCTCGCAGATCTGTTATTTTTAATTCCCAAACTAATCTATTCTCTTTCCAAAATAAACTCCAGACATTATTTTTCATTCTTTATCCCTTTTCATTTTTTTCTCATTTTGCAAGCCCTTTTTTTTTTCTTATTCTTCAAACCTCTTATTTTCTATTTCCATTACTTTATGTCTTTATTTATTACTTTTCGATTTTACTGTGCTGTTATATATTCTCCATTATTGTGAGGTCCTATCCTTTTCCTGCCCCCATAGCAGGGAAAAAAATTTGCAATTCAATGATGCCAATTGTCGGCGAATCCCAGATCCACATTTTGTGGTTGTTAATTTCAAATTACATTGAATGGCTATGAATGGTTGGGTGGCCGCTCACCACGGCTCGTTTGTTCATGACGTTGGTTCTTGATCTTATTAGAAGCTAGATGTGGGTTCGAATCAAGCAAAGGGAGAATGTCTTATAATCACAAGCGAACCTACCTACCCCTAAAGCGAAAACACAAAATTCAAACCGCATATCGCAATTCAAATATGCCTAATCTATTACAATTTTATTTGTCTGTAATATTTTCCTTTAATAGCTATCCCTCTAGCACCGGCGATGCCAGATGGCAGTGTCTTTTCTTATGACAGTGATGGTTATTTCAAAATTGTTTTACGAAACCAGGTGGGGTTGAAAAAGATCGCCCATCTGAAATAATATATACATATATATATATATATATATATATATATATATATATATATATATATATATATATATATGTGTGTTGTATTATTATTATTAATAATAAGTTTTTGGTTTATAAGACATAACCAGATTTTAAGATAAAAGTGCGTCTTATCTACCTATGTTCTATATATGTATCTCTCTGCCTATATTTCTCTCTCTCACTATATATATATATATGTGTGTGTGTGTGTGTTTGTGGTGTATATATATATATATATATATATATATATATATATATATATATATATATTCAGTTGCATGGATATTTTATTGCAACCTGGGTTTCAAACTTTTTGCTCATCAGACAATATCTGATGATCGCAAAAAGCGTGAAACCCAGGATTATCCATATCAATTGAATATGTTAGCTCTGTCACAGATATTGAGAACTTAGTATCGTGCATATAAAATCTGGTCTATATATATATATATATATATATATATATATATATATGTGTGTGTGTGTGTGTGTGTGTGTGTGTGTGTGTGTGTGTGTGTGTGTAAATATAGTAGTAGTTTAATGCTTTAAAGAAACTATTTTCTTAATAATGCAACAAATTTTATCACATTAAACGTTATTTTTTGTGGATATTCGTATTTGAATAGACGTTCCGTTTATTTAATCTATTAAACGATGTATTTTCATCTACCGGTCGGAATATTCGAGAATTTCTTATTAAAGAAAAATATGCGCCCTCTGGCACTGTTAAGATCTTGATCGTGAAAGTTTCTTCGTTGCCGCTTCGGTTAAGGCACATCGGGTCTAGTTACGGTTCTCCTTCGTTTCTCGCCGGAGAATGTATATTTTTAAATAAGATTTCTCGAATATTTAGGCTGGTAGACGAAAAGAAATATACTGTTTAATAAATAAACGGAGTGTCTACTGAAATATGAGTAGCCACTAAAAATAATGTTTAAATTAATAAAATCTGTCGGATTAATAAATAAAATAAATCCATTAATTCTTTAGAAAATTACTTTGTTCACGTTAGAAAACTGAGCAGATATGTCTTTTTCGAGAGTCAGAGAAAAATCTGTGTTTAAAGGCACTATTCAACTTTGCTTGACTATGGACGTATTCCGTGACGGAGAGGCCTAAAGATCTATGATGTTTTCTCCTAATGCGAACGCAGGTTCGAATCCTGACGGACAGAACAAAATTTCTCGAAAACGAAAATAAATAAATATACCTTTTAATAAATAAACGAAGCGTTTACTCAGTATGAGTATCCTCTAAAATTAACGTTTAAAGTTATATATTAATATGAGGGACAAGTAAAATTTAATTAATTTCTTACAAAATTTTTTCTGCGTTCTTACATTTTTTCGTTTTGTTGGTGTAAGGAGCACAAAAATTGTGCATATTATCCATTGTCCTCGGCGCTTTCGTCCACTGAAGCAATTTAGAAATGGGTTTCGTTTTACGGTGGGGTAATGGATAACGGTTCGGATTGAGGAATCGGAGAGCCGAGTTCGAATTCCAGTCGAATCCATTACATTCACTTACGTGGTAATACCCTTGGGAAAAGCATGAATCCTCTTCTTCTCCCTCCTGTTATAGGTAAACAGCAAGGTAGACCGGGTTCTAGAGCCTTGGCTGGCAACTGGTCTACCGCAGAAAGAAATGGCATCCTACTGCGGGAAAAAATTGCCTCGTCAGTCATGATCGCCTAAGTGTGTATCACGCGTGGCACCTAATTTCTTTTCATGTTTTGGACTTGTTAAATTGTTGTTTTTTTTTTTTGTTTTTTTTTAAATGCACACACACACACACACACACATATTATACAAATGAGAGAAAGAACAGATGGTGTAAGCTCCACTGTTCGTAGCATTTACTTTTAAAAAGACTGATAGATAGATAGATAGATAGATAGATAGATAGATAGATAGATAGATAATGAACAGACTGAGATAGATATATAAATAGATAGATATATAACATACTGAAATAGATACAAAATGAATATACTGAAATAGATAGATAGGTAGATAGATAGATAATAAACAGACTGAGATAACTGGCTAGCTAGATAGATAACATACTGAAATAGATAGATAGATAGATAGATAGATAGATAGAGAATGAATATACTGAAATTGATAGATAGATAGTATTAATGTATTAGTCTCTGAGCTTACTTTTCTACTTAGAGTAGATCTGACATTTAATTGGTTAATCAAGACATACCCACAAATCTGACTTTAAATTTCCTTAAAAATCATTTAATCACCAGTTACTTACCATCGCCTGAAGAAGGACACTCAAGTATTGAAACATGAAATCTTTTGTGTAGTGATTTCAATATTTTTTTATTATAATCTTTTATTTTAAAATTATATATATATATATATATATATATATATATATATATATATATATATATATATAATAAAAGGCTTAAACACTAATATTCCATGGTCATAATTTATTCCATTGGAATCTTAAATACGATCCAATTCATCAGACCTACAAATTCAAAAAAAAAAACAGAAAAAAAACTCCGGAAATAAAAAATAGAATTTAGAGAGAGTGTAAGTATGAGAGTGTGGGACGAATGTTAGAGCTAAAGAGAGGGGTAACAGACGAAGAAGAAGGTGGAGATTAAACCTTAACAGAGAGAAGTTTTAGAGAGGTGAGTGGAAGAGGTTTAAGTGAGATAAATATGAATGTTGTCGGATGTCTAATTAAATTAAAAAGGATACATTTCGTGGTGACATACACACACCATAGACGATCTAATGTTAAAGATCAGAATAAGAGGAGGAGAGAGGAAAAGAAAAGAAAAAGGGGTGGGGGAGAGAGATGGGGGCAGGAAAACTAAAACTGAAGGGCATTTACTGAAAGGGCCGATGTGTAATTAAGAAAATTTGACAAATTTAATATCGACTACAGGTTACAAATCAAATATAAACATATAAAAAAATAAATATAACGATTATCTAATCTAGCAAGGATCTATATTTTTTATGTTTATGTTATATACATATATTATAATAATATATATATATATATATATATACATATATCGTTATACCAGGTTTGTCAAAGATAATATATTATTGTTTATAATATAATCAAGTATTCTTGCAATGTCATTCGGTTCCATCATTACAAATCTCACGGTTTGAAGCTTATGTGACAGATGCATCATTGGATTTCTACAGGACTGATCGGGTCATCTTATAAGATGTGAGCCTTGTGTATATGCCTTTTGAGTCCAGATGTCATCTAGCAAACACGTCTACAAATTGTCTCACCAGGTGTCAGCTTGCAGAAGTCTCTAACCTGGACTAAGTTGAGCTATGTTTCGTCGACGCCCGAAAGAGCTAACCCGTGGTTTATGCAGTTTTTATGCTGAACAGACTGGTGTAACGTAGGTAAGTTTACTGAATAGAATAATCAAACGAATGTTGTTAATGAACAATAATACTTAGGACAAGAACAACACATATAAGATTCAACAGCTGCGCGTAGACGTAGTGAGCGTCAAATGAATTCCATAATGAATCTCCAACTTTAGGATATCTACCAACCGCCCTACGCGGTCAGAGGTGGCACAAGACCGAATTTAATGTGAGGTATCCGCACCCGTAAATAGTATCGGCCAAAAAAAAAATAAAGACCCCGTATAAAACGGGGTCGTGTATTTTATTATATTATATATTTTATTCACGAGACTCTGACCTTCGACGTATGCAGAGAGTTTGACCAGGACAGCTGGAGACTCTAGGATATCTACCAATCGCCCCAATTTTCATATGTGGCACAAAATAATTCAATAGAATTATCCGAGCCCGTAAATGGGAACAAAAAAAATTGGATAGACCCTGTATAAAACGGGGTCGGG